GACGTACCTGCAGTCTCTCGTTTCATTGTGCGGCAAGGGACTAAGCCAAGAATCCCATTGCGCTGCCTGTTGTCTATCTGTCTTCGCCTCTGAGAGTAGGAAGTACATTGAGCAAGATATCAATCAGAGGGAGGGAGGATTGCACAAGTGTATGTGGGTGGGCGGGCGCGGGCGCGGGCGTGGGCGTGGGTATGGGTGTGTGTCTGTGTGATCGTTAGGCCGTCAGGCGCGATACAAGCATTTCATGTTGTTTAGCTCCTAAAGCTTTAACTTGGTGACCTGGGTTTCCGACATTGAGTTTATTAAGCATGAGACGGGAGAGGTTCGAGTCGGGAAAGTATCGTCTCGGCTTTCATCGTGCATGTTTAACATGCCGTAGGAGCTTGGTTTTCGGTCTCCCCTGAGGCGGGAAGTAATGGTCCACGACGAGCAGACACAGTTTTCTGCCCGTGTTCGTTCTAGACTTTTGTGATCCCGCAACAAGCAAAGCCTAAGCCGATGCCCGAACCGTTCACCCTGAATCTCACAAGCCCCGCACCTAAGCCTGTTTTAGCTGCGTACTTTCACATCATCGGAATTACTTGTCGATCCGTTTCATTGTTCTTTGAATTGCTACTGCTACTGATAGTGGCATAACTAGCATAACTAGCACTCGTGCAGCTACAGTGTCTGTTGCGATGTGTTTGATTCCGTTGCAGTGGTGCTGGTGATGCGCATGATGCCGAGGAGGAGGAGGAGGGTGATGATGATGATGATGATGTTGGTGATGATGATGACGATGATGATGATGATGATGATGAATGTGGTGCTGCTGATGATGGTGATGAACTTCGCGATGATGGTTTCTTGGGCTGCTGAATGATGCTATCGTTGTTCGCAAGCTTGTCCGGTTTGAATCTGACGGCTTCCTTGCAAAGGTTTACGGTTCAGGTCCGCATTGTCGGCTCCCCAAGAGTTGAAATCTTAAGAGGGCGTTTGTCTTGAGACTCTCTAGTTGACCCTTTCAACATTCTCGCAAAAAAAACCCTCCAAGTGTCGATGCCCACCCCAATGCTCTAGATCGTTCAATCCGAAACCCGATTTTCCCACTGCACGTGCTTTGCCGCAGCTGGCTCAGGAGGATATGCCCTAACACCCACTAGCGCATATTCTCTGCCAGAAGCCATGGCGAGGCTTTCTATTACTGCCATCCTCGCCATCACGTTTCTTGTTAACTCTACGGCTTCACGCATTCAACAAGGCAGAAAGATGCATGTGGGACGGCTCTAGACCCCAACTCCTATATCGGAGATCGTAAGCTTCATGCAGAATCCTAAGCACCAAGCACTCATGCCCGATCTCGCAACCCAAGCCCTGAATCATGGAGCTGACTCCGAATCTAGACCCCGTGCTCCAAACCGCTGGTCCCCCAAACCCGGAGCGCGACAACGTAGAAGACCCTAGCAGCTCTAACCGCGGCAACTTCTCGTCACCCTACGGATCCATGTCTAGCCATATGGTAACATACAGTGTCCTTTGTGCCCGTATATCACTTCTACAGCAGCCCCTTGATGACCTACACATATGCGATACCATCGTTCATCGACCGTTAGATAATGATGCGGTTCAGCAGTGTTTATGGACAGGGCTCGTTAGGCATTTGGTGAGTGTCTATCTCGGATACTAGTGATATGCGGATAAGATTACCTAAAAAAATAGCTCTTGCTCTCTCCCTCTCCCTTTCTGCCTCTCTCTCCCTCTCTCTCGTATAGAGTGTGGGATGTAGGCTGTGCGGTGGAGAAGTCTCAGGTGCAAGGGCCAGGGTCGACGTTTTTCACAGTTCCCCTGTGCCCAGACCCATCATCCGAACCACTATGAGGATAGTACACGGGTCGGAAGAATTACGTAGAAACAACATGTCGTCCCTCTAATGGACCCCAGGACCCTTTTCAAGTTAACCGGGCCCCCATATTGCCCCGAACCGCCAAAGCCTAAACCCGGATTCTGAATCCGGTGCTTTTCGACACCGATGTCAGAATATTCTTGAGTCAAGGGTGCAGGGCAGTTAAGGGCTACACATTAGTTAGAGGTTACGGTGACGGGTTCGAGGTTTACTTTTTAGGAAATAGCTTCAGCGCTGCACTGTTCTTGCTTTAAGGACCAGGGAATGTTACGAATCGGTGCAAATTAGGGTTTCAGGGTTGAAAAGGGTTTAACCCTGAAACGATGGCACGGCAGGCACAAGCAACTATCCCCGCACCCCCCCCTCAAACCTGTAAATCCACCAAAATCCTCTAGAACCTTAATGCAAGGCTTTCAAATCTTTCAAGCTTGCCGCAGCCTGGGGAGGCGCCGGTGCCAGCGCCAGGCAACCCCAAGCAGTCCGGGCCGATGCCGCGGCGAAGGTTTCGTGAAACTCGGAGCCCTAAACCCTAAACCCTAAACCCCTAAACCCTAAACCCTAAACCCCTAAACCCTAAACCCTAAACCCTAAACCCCTAAACCCCTAAACCCTAAACCCCCTAAGCAGAGCTATGGGTCGGGATTGGGGGTCTATAGATTTGTTTTTGGAGCTTTGGAGGTGATCTGTTGCTGCGCGGTCTTCCGGAGTTTCGCTCGTGCCGGCTAGGGTGGGTCCTATGTCTGCGGGTAGTTCAGGGCCTAGGGTTAGGGAGGGTCATTTGGGGTTTTGGGCTGTCAGATGGTGTGGAGTGGTTACGCAAGAGGCTTAAGGACTCCGTCACAACAGATTGGCCTCGATATACCATGCGCATTCCGTCGAACCTAAGATCCGAACTATGAGCGTCTTTCTGAGGTCCGTGGGTGGTAAGCTTCTGAACGAAACTCTGACCTTTCACGGGGTGTGGCTCCTTCAGCCACAAGCTAAACACCTAAACCTTCCCCGGGCCCCAAACCCTGGCAGGTCCGCAAGGAACCCGCAAAAAGTAATGGCCCCACCAGCAAACATGAGGTGCAGCACTTAGGTCACAGCCTTTAGCGTTGAGAAATGACGCCATTCTGCTCCCCAGTGCACCCAACAACAAGAACATCCAGCCGTTTCTGCCAAGAAGGTCTAACCTTCTCGGAACGGATTAGATCATGTAGACCATGGACGTCATCATGATTGGGTCATGGATGCTCGCTTCTCAGAACGGATCAGACCATGGACGTCATCATGCTTGGGCCATGGATGCTCTCTTCCCAGAACAGATTAGACCATGGATGCCGTCATGGTCGGGTCATGGATGCTCTCTTCTGTTTATGGTGAAAAAATTGTGCTATTAGACCCAGGGCTGGGCAGAGGCGGATGCAAGCAAAAGGGGCCTTAGTTTCGCACACGACGAAATAGTGAAGCAGCGCAGAAAACACCACAAATACCAATGTAGCTTACGGATGCCTTTGAAAAATATTTGAACTTTCAATATAAAAATGCGGGGACAAGCAAGGCAATGGCCAGAGGACAGGAAACCCTGGTATTTGCAACGGATTCTGAACCAAGCAAAGCTGAACTGTGCAGGTGTGGGTCCCTTGTGGCCCCGCCTAGCCCTAAACCCCCAGAACCAAAACCCGGTCCAGGTGGCATAGGCCCTAAAACTTTGGCGAGTATGTATGTATGTATGTATGTATGTATGTATGTATGTATGTATGTAGGCATGTATATGCATGTATGTATGTATGTATGTATGTATGTATGTATGTATGTATGTATGTGTGTGTATGTATGTGTATGTGTGTATGTATGGGTATGCATGTATGTATGTATGTATGTATGTATGTATGTATGTATGTATGTATGCATGTGTGTGTGTGTCTGTGCATGTGTATGGGCATGTGCATATGCATGTGCATGAGCATGTGCATGTGCATGTGTACGTGTATGTGTATGTGTGCGTATGTATGTATGTATGTATGTATGTATGTATGTATGTATGTATGTAGGCATGTATGCATGTATGTATGTATGTAGGTAGGTATGTATGTATGTATGTGTGTGTGTATGTATGTGTGTGTGTGTATGTGTGTGTATGTGTATGTATGTATGTATGTATGTACGTATGTACGTATGTATGTGTGCATGTGCATGT